ATAATACATTTATTACCCTTACCCACCTCTCCCTGTGGCTTGAGGCAGGGTACAATACTGTTAAAATGAGTATTAGCAGCCAGACTAATAACTGGGGCAACTTACAGGGAGTGGTCTACCCCCCTGTTTAAGGAGCTCCTCTGGCTGCCATTTATTTTCCGGTCCCAATTCAAGGTGCAGGTTATCACCTATAAAACCCTAAACAATATGGGACCTGCCTACCTTTGTGACCGTATCTCTCTCTATGAACCATCTCGGGCCCTCCGTTCTTCTGGGGAGGCCCTTCTTTCGCCCCCGCCAGTCTCCCAGCTTCGCTTGGCGAGTACAAGGGAGAGAGCCTTTTCCTCTGTGGCTCCCCGACTCTGGAACACACTTCCTGGAGAGATTAGGAAAGCCCCTACCCTAGAAACCTTTAAAAAGAACCTCAAAACCTGGCTCTTCCGCTGCGCATTTGATGAGCAGATCTACATCCTCACACTAGTGTTTAGTTTATGGTTTTTGTTATTGGAGTGCATTCCCCCCATAGGAAAGTTTTGCTCCACGACCTCCACTAAAACGGGCTCTCCTCCGCTAATAACCTGTCCTTGTTTATCTTGTGTTTATCTCGCCTGAGTTTTTTATCCGTTTCTACCCAATTTTCTTTTATCCATTACATGTAGCTTGCTCATGTTACCGTGATTGTGTTTATTGTAATTTTATATTGCTATGTTGTCTTTTGTTTTATGTAATTGCGTTATTATTGTTTATTATTTGCTTTTTTGGTTTTGTTTTATTTCATGTAATTGTTGTTTTGGGCTTGGCCTCATGTAAGCCGCACCGAGTCCCCATCGGGGAGATGGAGCAGGGTACAAATAAAGATGATGATGATGATGGTGCTGCTCAATGCCAGGTCGGTAAATGGAAAAACTGCTATTATTAAAGATCTGATTATWAAAGATCTGATTCAAGAAGAACATGCTGACTTGGCTTGTATAACAGAGACCTGGTTGGACGAAGGGGGAGGGGTTAATCTCTCCCAACTCTGTCCACCAGGCTACTCTGTTCAGCACCAACCAAGGCTTGGAGGGCAGGGAGGAGGAGTCGCAGTGGTCTATAAGGAGTTTATCCCTCTGATCAGGTGTCCCATCCCACAAACATCTTCGTTTGAATGTGCCGGCTTTAGGATAGGTGACCGGGACAGGATAGGGATTCTGCTAGTGTACCGACCATCCCGCTGCACTACAATCTCCCTACCTGAGCTAGCGGGAGTGGTCTCAGACATGGCCTTGAGCTCCCAACGGCTTTTGGTCCTGGGAGATTTCAATGTCCATGCTGAGGCCACTCTCTCGGGTGTGGCTCAGGACTTCATGGCCGCCATGGCAACCATGGGCCTGTCCCAACTAATATCTGGTCCCACCCATAGTGCCGGGCACACTTTGGATTTGGTTTTTGCGCAGGGATGGGATGAGGGTGACGGATTGGAGGAGCTGTCCATCGCTCCATTGCCATGGACCGATCACCACCTGATCAGATTTAGACTAACTGTGCCTTCTAACCTCCGCAGGGGTGGTGGACCCATTAGAATGGTCCGCCCCAGGAGACTTATGGATCCAAATGGTTTTCTGACAGCTCTTGGGGATTTTTCCACCTCCTTGGCAGGTGACTCTGTCGATGCTCTGGTCTCTCGCTGGGACAGTGAGTTGACCAGGGCAATTGACACAATCGCTCCGGAACGCCCCCTCTCGAGTAACCGAGCTAAACCAGCCTCTTGGTTTACTGAGGAGCTGGCAGCGATGAAGCGAAAGAAGAGGAGGCTAGAGTGCGTGTGGCGCCAGAAGCCCACCAATCCGGCTCAAACACACCTGAATGCCTTTTTAAGGTCCTACGGTGTGGCAATAGCGGCAGCCCAAAAAACATCTATCACAGCCAATATTGCATCCGCGAAGAATCGTCCGGCTGAGCTCTTCCGAGTTGTCAGGGGCCTGTTAAATCCGCCAAAATGCGAGACCTCGGATAACTCGGTGGCCCGCTGTGAAGCATTTGCTCGATTCTTCACGGATAAAATTGAGCGGATTCGGTCAGGCTTTGACGTCATGTTAACGGCAGTCTCTGGGGATGTAGCGAGAACATCTGCTTGTCCAGCTTTGTTGGATTCGTTTCAATTGGTTCAGCTTGAGGATGTGGACAGGATCCTTGGAGAGGTGCGACCCACCACATGCATCCTAGACCCCTGCCCATCCTGGCTGATAAAAGAAGCCAGGGGGGGTTTGGCAGAGTGGGTGAAGGTGATGGTTAATGCCTCCCTGAAGGAAAGATTCCAGTGAGCTTAAAACAAGCTGTTATAAAAACCACTGTTGAAAAAACCTTCACTGGACCCCACTCAATTTGTCAACTATTGGCCAGTTTCCAATCTCCCCTATTTGGACAAAGGTATAGAATGTGTGGTGGCCTCGCAACTCCAGGGTTCCTGGTAGACACTGATTATCTAGATACGGCACAGTCTGGCTTTAGGCCGGGACATGGAACTGAGACAGCCTTGGTCGCCTTGGTAGATGATCTTCGCAGGGAACTGGACAGGGGGAGTGTGTCCCTGTTAGTTCTGCTGGACCTCTCAGCGGCCTTCGATACCGTCGATCACGGTATCCTTCTGGGGCGCCTCATGGACATGGGGCTCGGAGGCACTGCTCTGCGGTGGCTCCGATCCTTCCTTGAGGGACGATCCCAGAAGGTGTTACTGGGTGACACCTGTTCGGCCCCACAACCGTTGTTGTGTGGAGTCCCACAGGGTTCAATTCTGTCCCCGATGTTATTTAACATCTACATGAAGCCGCTGGGGGAGATCATTCGGAGTTTCGGACTAAGATGTTATCTCTATGCAGATGATGTCCAAATCTGTCACTCCTTCCCACCTGTCACCAAGGAAGCTGTCCAGACCTTGAACCGGTGTTTAGCTGCTGTATCGGACTGGATGAGAGCTAACAAATTGAAATTGAATCCAGACAAGACAGAGGTCCTACTGGTCAGTCGTAAGGCCGAACAGGGCATAGGGTTACAGCCTGTGTTAGACGGGGTTACACTCCCCCTGAAGACGCAGGTTCGCAGCTTGGGAGTGATCCTGGACTCATCGCTGAGCCTGGAACCCCAGGTCTCAGCGGTGGCCGGGAGAGCTTTTGCACAATTAAAACTTGTGCGCCAGCTGCTCCCGTACCTTGGGAAGTCGGTTCTGGCCACGGTGGTCCACGCTCTTGTTACATCCCGGATGGATTACTGCAACGCACTCTACGTGGGGTTGCCTTTGAAGACTGTTCGGAAACTTCAATTAGTCCAGCGAGAGCAGCCAGATTGCTCACCGGAGCGGCATACAGGGAGCATACCACCCCCCTGTTGCATCAGCTCCACTGGCTGCCGATCCAATTCCGAGCACAATTCAAAGTGCTGGTTTTGACCTACAAAACCCTACACGGTTCCGGCCCAGTGTATCTGTCCGAACGGATCTCCCTCTACGTCCCACCTCGGAATGTAAGATCCTCTGGGGAGGCCCTGCTTGCGACCCCGCCTCTATCACAAGTGAGATTGGCGGGGACGGGGAGCAGGGCCTTCTCGGTGGTGGCCCCCCACCTGTGGAACTCACTCCCCGGGGAGATTAGATCGGCAACGTCCCTTCTTTCATTTAGGAAGAGGTTGAAGACCTGGATGTGGGACCAGGCATTTGGACATTCAGGCAGTTAAAGAAAGACTTGATGACGAGCTGGAATTGGAGAAGACGGAATGGATTTACGGAACTCCGAACGCTGAGCTCAGGATTAGCCTACTACTATGTTTTTGGTATTACTGTGTATTGATGATTTAACTTTTAATTTGTAATTGCTTAATAGTTTTTATATATGTATGTATATGTGACAAGGCATCGAATTGTGCCTTTCTCTGTAAGCCGCCCTGAGTCCCCCCTAGGGGGTGAGAAGGGCGGGGTAAAAGTGACGGAAATAAATAATAATAATAAATTATGATTATTATTATTACTAAAACACATACAACACAATAGGTAAAGGTAAAGGTAGTCCCCTGACATTAAGTCCAGTCATGTCTGACTCTGGGGTGTGGTGCTCATCTCCATTTCTATGCCGAAGAGCCAGCGTTGTCCGTAGACACCTCCAAGGTCATGTGGCCGGCATGACTGCATGGAGCGCCATTACCTTCCCGCCGGAGCGGTACCTATTGATCTACTCACATTTGCATGTTTTCGAACTGCTAGGTTGGAAGAAGCTAGGGCTGACAGCGGAAGCTCACGCTGCTCCCCGGAATCGAACCTGCGACCTTTCGATCAACAAGCCCAGCAGCTCAGTGCTTTAACCCACTGCACCACCGGGGGTTCCACACAATAGACAGACTTAAAACACAAGTTAAAATCCACTGATAAAATGCAGCTTAAAATTGACCAGGTATGCCTGCTGGAAGAGATAGGCCTTCAATTGTGTCTTAAATTCTGACAGGTGATCTGGCTGTCAAATCTCTTGGTCATTCCATAGTCCTGGAGCAGCTGATGAAAAGGTCCTTTGAGTTGGGTTCTGGCTGCTTGGAGTAGCCACCCTTTAAAGGACCTAAGTGTCCTGATCAAATTGTATAGTAGAAGCCAATAACCTGAAGCTGAATCATGTAGGGCTTTAAAGGTCAAAACCAACACTTTGTACTTTTCCCAGAAACTACTGTATTTCATCACATAACAGTCTTCCTCCCCCCCCCTGTTTTTTCATTAAAAGGGGGTACGACTATTACATGAAAAAAGTCTGCCTTTATTCTCTGGTTTCTGTTGTTGTTGTTTTAATAAAATGCCTTAGCTCAGGGAACAAGACTGCAGTCATAAACATAGAGCCATTCAGGACTGATTGTCTCTTCCTTTCTTCTTTCACCAGAAACAAGGCAGTTTAAAACCAATAAAATGCAGGTTTCTAGAGCTTCACTCATCTCTCATTTATCCCTCTCTTAGGGCTTAAGGCATATTTTTTTTTTAAAAAAACAAAAACCTGAAATAGTAGTTTCTGGAACTCAGATGACCCCTTCTTCCTCCTTTCTCCAAAAAACTCAATTCCAGGTTTTGTAAATTGCCTTAAGACCTAGGAAGAAGGAGGGGAAATGGAGTTTAAGAGTGAAGCTTCAGAGACCTCCATTTTGTATTTTTTAAACTGCCTTGACTTCAGAGAAAGACAGAAAGAGAGGTCATCTCCAAATGGCAGTGTGACTATTATGCAAGGAAAACAAAAATACCATTTTGGGCACCCCAAAAATGGGTGTGGTTTTTTTTGTCATATCAGGAGCGACTTGAGAAACTGCAAGTCGCTTCTGGTGTCAGAGAATTGGCCTTCTGCAAGGACGTTGCCCAGGGGATGCCCAGATGATTTGATGTTTTTATTATCTTTTGTGGGAGGCTTCTCTCATGTCCCCGCATGAGGAGCTGGAGCTGATAGAGGGAGCTCATCCGCCTCTCCCCGGATTTGAATCTGCAACCTGTCAGTCTTCAGTCCTGCCAGCATAGGGCTTTAATCCACTGCGCCACCGGGTGTGTGATTATTAGGCATTGGCAACAATTATGCAATGAAATCAGGGTAATTGGAGATTAGTGGTGTCACTTTAGTGTGGGTGTGATGTGCTTGCTCCAGATGTTTCTGATTCTAGTTATGAGATCTGATGGATTCTGATTCTAGTTATGAGATCTGATGGATTTGTTATATTGATGTATTGATATATTGTTGTATTGATATTTATTGTTAATTAACTTGTTATGTGATTGCTTTTAAATACCCAATAACCTTGTACTTTGTATACTGAAACTGTTGCTGTTAACCACTCCGAGTCACCTAAGCAAATAAAGTAAATAAATGAATAAATAAATGTTCCTGTAACTAGTCTGGCTGCCATATTTTGAACTAATTGAAGTTTCCAAACTTGGCTTCCAAACTTGATAAAGTACATTGCAGAAGTCCAATCTTGAGGTCACCAGCACATGCAATATCATAAGACCTTTTAACTTAACACAAGCCACCAATTAGGGCTAACATAGATATAACAAGACACAGTTGGGCATTTCTAATAGCATGTTTTCTCCATTTTCTGGTCATAGGAACCACTCTAGACAATTTCCTTTCCAGTCACAGACATTTCTCCAAGAAATCTGGTAGTATTTGTGTTTGCTTACATGTGTGAAAATGAATGGCTATCTGGTTATTGCATATATGAAGCACCACCTATGTTTATAATCAGTTAGACATACTGCATTTGGCAGGACACAGAATGTAGTTTCTAATGCTAGGCTTAAAAGGTTACCTAGAAAGCTGAATAATCACTTGCAGATTACATTTCTAGACTACTGAGCAAGAAAGACACATTACTTTGAGCCAGAGTGCCATTTCAGGTATCCAGCTGGCATAGCTTACCCATCTGTGGGCAGAGCATGAACTGTGGTGTAGACAAGTACAATCTAGATTGTGGTTACAGTCTGTCACATCCATGGCTGCAGCATGTCCCCCGAGCTCTTGAACCAATATCATTATATTGCAACAATTCAACACCCACCAACTGCCACACATCAATAAGAATACTTAGGCTATTTATTTGTCGTGTCATGGCAACCAGTCCATTATATTACATTTCTAACAGAACAAAGCAAACAAACAAACAAAATACAAAATTTGTGAGTTTGGTAGTTGATTAAATGTCTTTTGACCAGTAGCTGGCCACTTTGGGTGCTTCTGGTGTTGCTGCAAGAAGGTCCTCCATTGTGCATGTAGTAGGGCTCAGGTTGCATTGCAGCAGATGGTCAGTGGTTTGCTCCTCTCCACACTCGCATGTCGAGGATTCCACTTTGTAGCCCCATTTCTGAAGGTTGGCTCTGCATCTTGTGGTGCCAGAGCGCAGTCTGTTCAGCACCTTCCGAGTTGCCCAGTTTTCTGTGTGCCCAGGGGGGAGTCTCTCATTTGGTATCAGCCATTGGTTGAGGTTCTGGGTTTGAGCCTGCCACTTTTGGACTCTTGCTTGCTGAGGTGTTCCAGCGAGTGTCTCTGTAGATCTTAGAAAACTATTTCTAGATTTAAGTCATTGACGTGCTGGCTGATACCCAAACAGGGGATGAGCTGGAGATGTCTCTGCCTTGGTCTTTTCACTATTGGCTGCTACTTTCCGGCAGATGTCAGTTGGTGCAATACCAGCTAAGCAGTGTAATTCCAGTGGTGTAGGGTGCAGACACCCCGTGATAATGCGGCATGTCTCATTAAGAGCCACATCCACTGTTTTAGTGTGGTGAGATGTGTTCCACACTGGGCATGCATACTCAGCAGCAGAGTAGCATAGCGCAAGGGTAGATGTCTTCACTGTGTCTGGTTTTGATCCCCAGGTTGTGCCAGTCAGCTTTCGTATAATATTGTTTCTAGCACCCACTTTTTGTTTGATGTTCAGACAGTGCTTCTTGTAGATCAGAGAATGGTCCAGAGTGACTCCCAGGTATTTGGGTGCGCTGCAATGGTCCAGTGGGATTCCTTCCCGGGTAATCCTCAGAGCTCGGGATGCTTGTCTGTTCTTAAGGTGAAAGGCACATGTCTGTGTTTTAGATGGATTAGGGATCCGTTGGTTTTCCCTGTAATAGGCAGTTAGAGCACCTAGAGCTATCAATATTTGCTGATAACTATTTAAATACAGGGAAATAACTCTTGGAAAGTCCATCATCCCAACAAGAGAAAGAAATGGAAAATCAACAGTGAACTGTTTCAAAGCAAACTGAACATAATCTCAATTAAAACTGCAAACTATTGCAGGCTTCATTTCCTTAGCTAGCAATTGTGGAATTGAGTAATGCTATTATTTATTCTCTTCCTCCACCCCATCCCTCTATATAGGTTAAAAGAAGGGCAGAATAAAATGGAGCACAATAAGCTGGAATCTGCAGATGCTGAAAACTGCAATAATTGCTGTAGGTCAACTTGCCATTTTCCTCATCCTTTTCTGTCAGTTAGAAAACATGCAGCCTGCCCCTGAACATAATGTTCTCTTCTGAGTAGCACTTTCCTGCTTGTCAGGCACAGGCTCCAGCTTGCTTTCAAAACCTTTTGTTTCCCACAGCCAACCAAGCGTTAAAAGGACGGGGACTCATAGTTTTGTATTATGTCAGCTTTTTTAGTACAACAGCAGAATTGAAAGAGAGAATCAGACACCAGTAGATATGAAAGCACAAGCTCATTCAAAGGCACTTAAGGAGCACTTTCGGATGTACATGGCAGTTCCACAGAGTGCCCAGGTGCTACTCTTGCCTAATAGTATATACTAAAACACAAGGATTGGTTTTTATATGAAAAAGCAACAAGGAAAACCTAACTTAGTGCAACTTTCATTTTGTGGCTTTTGTGTATGTCACATCATATGGGAAATAGAATCAATGCAGTATTGTGGTTTGAGCACTGGACGATGACTTTGAAGACCAGGGTCTGGAATAAAAACCCAGTGAGTGATATTAGGTAAGTCATATTGTTACAGCACCAGAAAATCTTGTCATAAGTTCACCGTATGATTGCCATGAGTAGGAAACAACTTGAAGGCACACTACATCAAAAGTTTCAAAACATCAAAATATTTCACAACTGTATATTTCAAGTAGTTGCAGTCCCCTGCTCCCTTGATATTTGTAACATTTAGGTGAATTCCAATGCTTAGGATATACAAAGTCCAACAGGGGGCCTGTTGTGGCGGGGGGGGGGCACCCTCCCACCGGACATACTGGTAGCAGGGGGCTTCTCGTTTCCAGAAGCCCCCTTGCGGTGGAAAGTTTCCCGTCGCATGGGCAGTTGGCCAGTCAGTGGCTGGCCCCACCCAGCACCTGGCATTGGCCATGGGCCGGCCACTCGCTTTGCCCAGCAGCCTTAAATAGGCTGCGTAAGGGCCTAGCAGGCACCAGGCTTGCTTCAGGTTGTCCTCCCATCCACCCTGCACAATTTTTGTTCTTGCACATTGTTGCAGTTGTTGGTCATTATCTGTTTGTCACAACTTTGGTTGGCATGTGACATGGGCCCTGGATCTGGTTTCCGCCCCTCCCCTACTGGCCGGGGAGGAAACATCCGGCGGTTCCCAGGAGTGCCGTATTTTGTTATTATTATTTATTTATTTACTTTATTTATATACCACTTTTCTCAGCCCCCAGGCGACTCACAGCGGTGAACAACATTGATACAAAACATCATGAGACAAGTATAGGGCAATTAAAAACAATTGTAACGTATAGCATTAAACATCAGTATAACAATCATTAGTGCCTCAACAGTAAAATCAGAATCCAGTCTCATCATCCATTATTCCGTATTCCTATGTTCATTTACACTATTTAATCAAATGCTTGTTCGAACAGCCAGGTCTTCACTTTCCTCCGAAATGCCAGCAGGGAGGGGGCCGACCTAATATCTGCAGGCAGGGTGTTCCACAGCCGAGGGGCCACCACTGAGAAGGCCCTGTCTCTCGTCCCCGCCAAGCACACCTATGATGCAGGCGGGACAGGGAGCAGGGCCTCCCCAGATGATCTTAGTGTCCTAGTCGGTTCATAGGAGGAGATGCGTTCGGAGAGGTAAGTAGGGCCAGAACCGTTTAGGGCTTTATAGGCTAATGCCAGCACTTTGAATTGTGCCCGGTAGCAAACTGGCAGCCAGTGGAGCTGGCGCAACAGAGGAGTAGTATGCTCCCTGAGTGCCACTCCTGTTAGCAACCTGGCTGCCGAACGCTGGACCATTTGAAGCTTCTGAGCAGTCTTCAAAGGCAACCCCATGTAGAGAGCGTTGCAGTAGTCTATACGGGATGTAACCAGAGAGTTGTTGCCTGGTATTGTGCTGGTGGGCCCCCTGTTGGACTCATTAGGTATCGGTCAGCAGTGGGCTGATCAATCTTGATCCAGAACCCATGCCTGGCAGCCAACCCTTTGTTCCTGTAATCAATAAATTAAGCTGTGGCCAATTTTACTCCACATATGTGTCCGTGTCATCTCTGGTTCTGCAAGTGGGAGGAGTGTCACCCATCCACACGCAATTTATCTTTGCATTGGGCTCACTGGGTTCTAGCCAATCTACAACTTCATTGGATAGTCTCTAGTATACTGTGATCTGTACAAAATGATCAGTTTTATCAACCCTAAAACCAATTTTTTATATTCATATGAACTGTGGCATTTCTGTAACGTGAATTGAGGTTTCTTTCCCCATAAACATGCAAATTACTTCTCACCCTGAACAATAATTCATGACCAAACATGACCTTAAATAAAATGAAAGAACAACTTTTACTCAAAACAGTGTTACTCAAGTATTAACAATGCTGTGTACTACTTACCATGTAAAGATAAGACATAACAATGTTGATATTAAAATCAGGACTTGGTTAAACATTGCAGACTGTGTGCGTTGGATGGCTCTGTGGAGATCATTCTAGATGGAAAAAATAGGAAATATATGAAAATATTTGAAATGTAACATAGTCTGACTGAAAAATGTAAAACCTTCTAAAATAATCAGTCTTAAGCTACAATCTTGTCCATTCTTACATAACTTATTTTGAATTCAATGGGACTGACTTCTAATATAGACATAGACAGAATTCAACAATATATAGACAGCATTGCCCTTTTTCTAACTCAGACCTTTCAAGACAAAGAGGTCTACAAAGTGAACATCAACAAGAAAACATGGTCCTTACATCTGGGTTACAAAATAGGTTACAAAATATATAAGAGGTGTATGAAATAAATATATACAATAAATCTTCAAATGACTAAAAAGAACGCAGGTCATGTATAGATATAAGGTAATAATGAGACTCCTATAAAAGGATGAGTAGTAAAAATAGACAATGTAGCTGAGCTACAATTAGAATAATACATGGCTTTTCAATATACATTACGGGACTGAAAGAACAAATAAATTGGAATGCACTGGCAAAGAGATTCCTGGCCAATGTCCCAGTCCCAATGAAAAGTCACTGCTTACACTATGATCTTCAATTAGAAGTAGGAGCAACATTATGGGCCCTAACACACATGACTAAAACCCATGCTGTAATGAGTTAAAATAATCCACTTTGGTATGGGTTCTAGTCTCCACTCCTTCCCACAACCCCAACATTTTCCTCTTGGGACGGCTACATGCTATCGTGATTGAAACTGGGATAGCATGAAGCTACACCGAAGCCCCTGATTTACCACCTAAAACACCTTAAAAGGTCACTGGTAGCCAGGAAGCCTCTCCTCACATCCTCCTGGCATGAGAAAATGACACCTGAGGAGATGGGAAGGGTGAGGAGGAAAATCCCATCTCTCCCCCCCCCCCCCCCCACACACACACCCCAATCTCCTCAGGTGTCATTTTCTCATGCCAGGAGGATGTGAGGAAAGGATTCATGGCTGCCAAGAAGCTTTAAAAATAAATTTTAGGGGGTAAATCTGGGGGCAAGGGGAGGGGTGGGTACTGGGCACCCTCCCACACAGTTGGGCTCCAGGAGCCTAAAGTTGCAGGATTGCTCATTCCTGGTGTCACAGAACGCCCAATAAATGCCTCATTAGACCTGAGCCTTTCAGGAAGACCTGGCACTAATGAGGTATTTTTAAAAAAATGTGTCAGAAATGATTTGAGAAACTGCAACTTGCTTCTGGTGTGAGAGAATTGCCCGTTTGCAAGAACATTGCCCAGGGAATGCCCAGATAATTGATCTTTTACCATCCTGTGGGAGGCTTCTCTCATGTCCTCACATGAGAAACTAAAGCTCAATAGATGGGAGCTTATCCTGCTTCCTTGATTAAAACTGCCAACCTTTTGGTCAACCAGTCCTGCTGGCACAAGAGTTTAACCCGTTGTATCACCAGGAGCTCCAGGTATTTAATCCAAGGAAACCTTGATTTGTTCCGCATTATTTTGCTTCATTTCAATGCCTCCGGTAAAAACCGAGACAGGTCCTACATTATGGGACTGTCTGATAGCCCCTATGTCTCCCCATTCCTCCAGATATTCCCCATATCAAGAGATCACAGTGGGCCCCTTCCCCAGTTTTGCCCCCATTAGAGCTGGTTCAGTCAAAGTTTCTGAGATCGGCCTTGCAGGTACCTAAATGTGTTTCCAATGCCACCCTGCGACTAGAGACGGGCTTTATGAGAGTGGAGGCCAGGGTATGGGTGGCCATACTCAACCTCTGGCTCAGACTATCCCGTGCACCCTTTGGTCTTGCCCCACTAACCATGGAGGATGACTTCCAATCCACATGGAAGCAGGCGGTAGCATCAAAAATCTCCTCATTGGGATTTTCTCCAGGTCTACTATTCGCTATGGATTACAATCAAGCCAAAGCACTTATTAAACAACGTATCACAGACACAGAGCGACAACTAGATCTGGCCTCGGTTCCAACCTTCCTTATCAATGAAGACAGCAGATATCTTGCCTCCCCTATGGCATATTTAACAAACTTAGAGGTTCCTATCATCAAAGGGCTTTCACCCTGGCCCGATGCCACGCTCTCCCATCAGCTGTACTCGAGAGCCGCTACCGGAAGATCCCTTTCCCAGAGAGACTCTGCCCCTGTGACTCGGGTCATGTAGAAACAATAGAACATGTGCTCCTTCAGTGCCCGTTCTACAGAGATATCCGTGCCAGGCTTATCTTACCTCTGATATACAAGCACCCAGGCCATTCAAGACAATTTTATACCTCCATGCTACTTGCAGGTATTAATTCAGCTACAACCTACAATGTTGCAAAGTTCTGTGCAGCAGCATACAAAATCCGTCAGGGAATGACTAGTCCCAAAAGTTAACTGTGTGTCCAGTAATCTTCTTCCCTGAATCTACAATTTGGTGATGGATCTGGGCATTATATGTTTTTACCCTGTTTCCCCTTCCGCTCCCTCACCCATATTGTGCTTTAGTAGGTTTATTTATATTTTAATGTACCAAACATACCAAGTTTGTATGAAAATGTGACTATTTCTGTGCTGGTCAATGACCGAAATAAATTATTTGATTTGATTTGAGAGATCACTGAAGGCTGATGGACAGCTGAAGATCATCCAGCTTTATTCTGATAACCACCTGCTCAGGAAAACATTTTTAAAAACCCAGTACATCTAGAAAGCTATCCATGCATTAATGTTCACAGTATTATGTTTATAGTGATGATATACAAGAAATCACTATTACTCCCATTTTACAGCTTCAGAACAGAAACTTATCAATGAACTGAAGCTGATTAATCCGTGGAATTTGTTATTCAACTAGAAACACTTAAACTTTCTTGGGCTAATGTTTAGACCCATTTTTTAAAAATGATAATGAATTCTATAGCATCCAGCGGCTGGATTTACACTCTTCTACTTCATTATATATAACCTGAAATGTGTATCCATGTGTGGGACCAAGAAATTCAATTAGCAGCATGATACAGGCTGGTACTTTTGTCACAAAAGCTTAAACACATTCTTAAATCTGCCATTGGTTGCAGGTTCCAGAGCCAAATACGCTAGGAAGAAATAAGTGAAGCAAAGCTGCTCATTGGCTAAGTCTCCATATTTTTTTATGGTATGCACACCAGCATGGAAAATGAGCCAAAACAACTGGCATTTGCTAAACCTCAATCTCAAAGTTCTTAGCTCTGGCTTTCTAGAGCCAGGAAAATAAGGGAAAGGAGTCAAATGGATTAATGTTGGGCCAATGGTTTTATTATCTACATAAGACAATACATTTGGATTCCTCGGTACTGAAACTAACTAAGTTAGGGGGAGACAAAGCAGAAGGTTTGAAATGCCAAAACAGTTGACATTTGAAAGGCAATTCAAAATGCAATTAAACTAAGTGATTTGAATTTTTCCCCACTTACTCCCACAAATTTCCATTGGCACTATAAAGGTTGAATGCATGTATCATGGTTGAAGGTGACTGTAAGCTGAACTCTGGCCTTCTCTGTGATATAAGAAAAAGAAGACCCCCTTCAGTATCCCCCAACAACCAATTAATTCTCAACTATACATTTTTGCCATACTTACAATCATATTCTCCAATGCATGTTTGGCAAGCCAGCAATTTAAAAAAACAGGGATGAATAAATTTCTTAAGGCAGGCCAGAAAATCTGAAAAAAAAAACATTAAAAAAACCCCAACATCAAACACATTCTCTACATTTCCTTTGTCAGTGACAAATGTATTGAAGTGTTTGCATTCAATGTATAAGAAGAAGCAGATTTGTTTTTGAAAGACCACATTTCAAGCTCCATTAATGCTCTGCTAGACAACAACACAGATGACAATGAAATAGATAAGAAAATGCCTAAAAGCTAGGAAAAGTTTGACATTGATACACTTTTCTCAGTTTTTGCTTCACAAAAAGATTGCAGTCAAGAAGTCACAATCATTGAAGTGGGTCTTTCCTGTAAACTAATGTACTTAGGATTGGTCTGCTTATAACTGCAGTCTTTACTTCTCTGATTCCAATGTTCATTCAGTCAGAACATCTTCTGAGAGGTGTAATCTGAAATACGATCTGTTCCCAATAAACCCCAGTGTATTTCAGGTATAAAAATGCCTGCTGTATCTACAAACGTTTGTGGGTGAAGAGTCAAGATTATTCTACAAGTTCTGTTGGCTCATATGGAGCTTGGGATTATCTACACAATTAATGAATTGGGTTCATTAAATGTTTGTAGTCATTTGCTATAAACTCACTAGATTTTCCAAGTATGGCAGAAGTTAAAAGCTACTTTAATTAAATTGTTAGAATTTTAAAGAACTGGTTATTAGGGCTGGGCGGTTTCATTTCGTAATTTCGTAATTCATTAAAAATTCATTTTTTTTATAATGAAGCGATAACGAACCATTCAGGAGCATCTAAAAAACGAAACGAATTTTAAAATTCGTTTCGTAATTGCTTCGGATCCGTTTTGTATTCGTTTCGTTATCGTTTTGAAACCGTTTCGTTATTATTTCCGCATGTCTGGGGCAAGTTTTATAGCTGTTGTTTGTTTAATCAGTGAAAAAAATATATAAATATCACACCAACAGTCAACAACAGAGGGAGAGGGAAGCTTCAGAAGTTCCCCCTGTCCCATTTGGAGGTTTTTTAGCGTATTGCTCGGTCGCGTCCGCCATTAACGAATCGATTCGTAATTGTTTCGTAATTGTTTTGTAATTGTTTTGTATTTACGAAATTTCATAAATATCGAACTTTTTAAAAGAAAAATTTCAGAATTCTTTTAAATATCGAAACGCAAAAACCCCCCAAAAAACGAATCGATTTTAGAAACAAATTTTTCCGTTGTTACCCAGGCCTAATGGTTATATAACTCTCCTTTTAAAAAAACCTTGGAATCCTGCTGCCTCCAATGAATAAATATTAGAATTAGCTCTTTTGTTAGGAAGACTAAACTGTTTGATTTCTTTGGGAAGACAAAGTGGAGAAAAGATGGCTGTGGGAAAGAAGAAAAATGGAAAAGTAGGAAAGAAAGTGTGTTTTGAAAAACAGGGTAGTGGGTGAAGTGATTTGCTTCTTTAGACATTTACTAAGATACTTGGACAATAAGGATCCTTTCATGATCGTTTGAAATGTAAGTGTCAACAACAACAATTACTTATTGATTAGTCAATTTTGACCATATCAAAACATGCAAAACATACAAAACATACACACTTGCCCATACATACAGTAAAGCCATAAATGAATACAAGGCATCCCGGCCTACTGGCCTGTCAACCCACTACAGGATAAAAAAAAATTAAAAGATTAAAAATTGATTAATTCCTTAAAGTAGGGTTTGGGCAGGGGCGCGGGTAGGTAAAACTAGTGGCATGTCCATATTAAGTTTTTAAGTTTGAATTTTGTTGATGGCAGCAAAGTCACCTCTCTCTGCTTCCATCTTCTCACGGATGGCCAGCGGTTTTTGGGTAAAAAGGGTCAATTTTAAAATAGAGTTTTTATCTGAACTCTGTAGGAGGATGTGCAATTTATCCTTATTCTCTGAATAAGTATGATTCTCCAGCAGAGGCTCTAGGTAGTAAGACCGGATCCTGTTGTAGTAGGGACATTTTAAGAAAAAATGTTCTGAGTCCTCCACTTCTGCATCTACCTCACGGCACCCACAGGTTCTCCTCGTG